AAAAGGAATGCTGTGCACAAGAATGATAACTCTTCCCTATATAATTTTTGAGTTATTGCCCTTTGTTCTTTTTCATACTATTTTGTCCGGAGCTTATCTCAAAAAGTATTTGAGGTATCAACTTGAAACTTCATAGGTTGATAGATTTTACTGAGGAAGGGTGCAGCACACAAGAATGATAACCTACCCTGCAATTATTTTTCAGTTATTTGCCCTTTGTTATTTTCAGCCATCAATATTCACATATGTTTTGTAATCACTTCAGCCATCAGTTTTCATTACCAAAAGACCTCTTAAAATGGAATTTTTCTGCACTACTACATATACATTCTTCCAATGAGCAAACACATTCGGCGGGGGATGACCATGTTGACATGGCTCTTGTTCAAGTTGTTTTCGCTGCCGAAAAAAAAAAAATACACAAATGACATTCAATGCTAGAGGCGGATTGTAAACTGTTACCAATGTTGATTCAAGATTAAATGGCTTTTCTCAGTGGAAATAATTCATTCAACGGATGTACCTTTTCATTAAATTAGTGTAAATTTCATTTCATTAATTATCTTTGTTTATACTTTTCATTTTATTTATTCTATTTTATTTTATTGATACATTTTTTGTTCTGCTACTGTGAATGTTCGTTAACTCTACCCCATTGGATCCTCTGTGGAAATAAAACTACTACTGCTATAAAGCAGTCGAGTTTTTTCCTATATTAATCAATGAAAAAACTGTACTGTTATATATCAATACAGTTTTTTCAAATGCTCATTGAAGTGTACTGAGTATAGTGGGTTAGTTAGAACAAAGAAAACGTTCGAAGCCATGTGATAACTTCACAAATTACGAAGCGTCAAAATAAAAAATCAAAGCACTGAAAGTACTGTTGGAAGGAAATTTTCATAGAAATTCCCAATCAATGCGTGTGAATTAAAAACAAAGGAATATGTGCAAACTTCAATCTACAGCTAGCTGATTTGATGACGTGAAATTTGACGTCATTGTTTCCGTTTTTGCACTACTCATGTTCAGTTCTTGGCCCAGGGCCCCAAACCCATAAGTTGTGACACTCAAAATCAGTTGAAATCATAGGCAATTCTGTTACTTATATAGTAATAAGTGAATTAATAGATAATACTACTGCATTATGAACACAAAGAACCACTCAGTTTGACCTAAATCGGCCATGACTTATATAACTACTTCATAGTTAATGAAGAGACTTTTTATTTTTAACTCAAGGACAAGAAAAGCTCATCATGTGCTTACATTTGTAAGTTCAAACATAACTAATTGTGTTTTAGTATGAAATTGATGTACATGCTGCTAAAGTCATAGCAAAACAAAGAACAATGATTTAAAATAAACTTTTATTGTCAAAACTTGCATAAAAGTAAAAATATATGTAATATAAAAAATAAATGATTAAATATATGGAGATAATGAAATTTAGTTTGTCAGAAAAAATGTGTAAAAGGAACTCCACTGAGGTTTTTTGACATGATGAGACTGAAATTTATTTTTCTAGATTAATGTACCACTTGATGTATGTTTTGACCACTAATCTTTGAGAAAAATTTCAGATCATTTGCGCACTTCGTTTTTAAAGAATAATTATTCAAATTGTAAAAAAATGACCCAAAATGAAAGCGTTTAAACACTTATCACGCAGATCAGGCTGAGAAAAGCATAAAAAAAATGATTTTCAATTTATTTCAAAGTATATTTCTTCACTATCTGTGCATATATTTCTGTATCAAGTGCCCCGGCTCATTTCTGTAGAAATTCAAATGTTATGTTTTAGGCTTTTAAACCTCAATGGAGTGAGTCCCTTTAAATTATTGGTACATATTGAGGTGACACAAGTTATAACAATCTGAATGAAAGAAGCTTTAATGCAAACGGCCAGTAATATAGGAGGTGCTGTTTTAAGGATTTTTTATACAAGACTGACATTATACAACAAAATATAGTCAAAAGTAGAATTGTACCCATAGGACTTGAATGCCTGCGTTAAGAACAATGCTTATATTGAGTGGGTAATCAAAATATGTACATAATTAGACAAGCCCACTGGCAGCATATATCAAGCCTGTTGCCATTATTTAGAACTGAACCTTAAAGCTTCAGATTGGGGAGAAAGATGTATACATAAGTGAACATTTGTGATAAATGTTATGAAAATCCAGCCATGTATATAGAAATATACTCTCATGTTTTAAGTTATTATTTGACTTTTGATCCAAAGTAGTGACCTTGATCTTTGCAACAGACACCTGATTTTTCATACTACACTCCAACTCACTAAAGACTGTTAAATTTTGTCCAGAGTGAAAATATCTATATATGAAAAATCTTTATAGATTTCAAAAGCATTCAAATATTATCAGTTATAATCAATTTTTTGCATATGATTTGGTAAGGAAGGCATAATGTTGTATAAATTTTGTGGAATGTAACTGAAATCATACTTGACCTGTGTTTTGATATATTGTTGAATATACCAGTTATAAATTGAATCCTTAAAAGGTGTACAAATCTTATTAGTTGGAAACTAAAATTTCAGTGGAAATTTCACATACTGACCGGACTGACAGACAGGGTAACACTTAATGCCCTGTCACCATTCTTTAAATGGCATGGGCATATAAACATAGAACAGGTTAGCTTACAAGAACATTTCTGTTTTCATATTTTACTAGGTAAAGTACAAAGAAATGATATTGTTATAATTTTATGAGCCATCACATCAAACCGTGATCAATGTAATATGAAGTATGGGAAAATAATTAACAAGAAGTGCATGTTTAACTAAAACAGAATGTATGATTCAGAGGAACACTGTAAAAAATGTTAAAAAAAAACAACAAAAAAAACATAAAAAAAGTTGAACATCATTTGGACTTTCATGAGTTGGCCATGCTAATCTTAGAATAAGAACATAAATAAAATACAACATTATACAAAAGGTAGTACAAAAAATACAATGATCAAAAGTTTGAAAGTGAACACTTGTTGGTAAAATAAACAAGAATTTGTAACAGAGATACCAACGTCCCCCGCCAAAGAAATAAAATGAAATACTGAATTTCAAAATATATCATGTTAAGCTTTGCAGGGATTTTTTGGCTTATTTTATAGCCATTATTGGGACATATTCCCAATTGAAAATAGTATATTATTTTCCCAATCCAAAGGAAAATATTCCCAATTGAAAGTTACAAAAATATAAATATTGAATAAAGAATTCTAAAATCTATGAAAATAAGGGCTTCTTTACTGTAATAGTGTTTAAATATTTGAAGAAGCCATCCTAGGCAGTGATTGCTTGCATACATTTAATCACTGCAAACTTTCAATCATGCATTTTTTCCCAATTTTAACAAAATATCGCTGAAATTTCCAGTTGCATGGGTATGGGTTATGTTCCCAAAATCCTGAAAAAAATCCCTGCTTTGACCTCTAAGTGTGACCTTGACCTTGGAGGTAGGGGTGCAGGTGTTGTGCATGACATATCATCTTATCATTGTGACTATTTGTGCCAAGTATTTTCAAAATCCCTTCATCTATGAAGAAGTTATGGACGGGGCATTAAATATACCATATAACAGACTTTGTTACCTTTATACCTCTAAGTGTGACCTTGACCTTGGAGGCAGGGGTGCAGGTGTTGTAATTGACATATCGTCTTATTATTGTGACTATTTGTGCCAAGTTATTTCAAAATCCCTTGAACTATGAAGAAGTTCTACATTGGACACATTATATACCCTTTAAAAGACTATGTTAATTTTTTACCTCGAAATGTGACCCTGACCTTGGAGGTAGGGATGCAGGTGTTGCCCATGACACATTGCTTATTATAGTGAATATTTGTGCCAAGTGTTTTCAAAATCCTTTGATGTACAAAAAAGTTATGGACCGGACAAAAAAATACCCTATAACAGGCTATATTAATCTTAGACCTCCAAGTGTGACCTTGACCTTGTAGGTTGGTGACCGATTGTTGCGCATGACACATCATCTCATTGTTGTGAACAATTGTGGCAAGTATTTACAAAATCCCTCTTAAAGATAAGAAAGGTATAGACTGGACACGAGATATACCCTCAAATGGACAATGTTGACCTTGAATGAGCAAGTGTGACCTTGACCCTGAAGGTAGGGGTCTGGTTGTTGCACATCATCGTCTTATTATAACAAACATTTGTGCCAAGTTATTTCAAATTCCTTCAATAAATGACAAAGTTATGGACCAGACACGAAATATACCCTGTAACACACTATGCTAATATTTGACCTCCAAGTGTGACCTTGACCTTGGAGGCAGGTGACCTGTTGTTGAGCATGACACATCTTCTCATTATTGTGAGCAATTGTGGCAACTATTTACAAAATCCCTTTAGAGATAGGAAAGTTATAGACCGGACACGAGATATACTCTCAAATAGACAAGTTGACCTTGAATGAGCAAATGCGACCTTGACCCTGGAGGTAGAGGTCTGGTTGTTGACACGACTCATTGTCTTATTATAACAATCATTTGTGCCAAGTTATTTCAAATTCCTTCAATAAAAGCTTGAAGTTGATAAAGATTTGTTCATACATATTTCAACAAGAGGGCCATGTGAATATAGGCCCCTGGAGCGGGGCCACTTTAAACCCCAGGGCTTTTATTTGACAAAACTTGTAAGACACCCGTTAGAAGATGTTTCATGATGTTAAGTTTTTACTACACACATATAATGTAAAACAAAGACCTCTGCACCACCCCCCACCCCGGCATGGCCAATTTTTATACAAGGGCTTAAATTTGAACAAACTTGGTCGACACCATGAGATGTTTCATGCTAAACATCTAGGCTCTAGCTCATTGGGTTTTTTAAAAGAAGATTTTTTAAGTTTTTACTATACACAAATAGTTGGTTTATACAAATTTATTTTAGTTCGGTTGTGTTGGAAGCTATAAGCTTATTAAAACACTCTCGAATCCGTTCCTGGAACCAACCAGTAATGAATGTAAAGTCTCTTGCTCAAGGAAACAACCGCTGCCCCTGACAGGGTTTGAACCCACGCGGTCAGCAATCCTTAGATTACTTGTCCGACGCGTTAACCACTCGGCCATGCCGCCATCACACAAATAGTTAAAAACAATGAAACCCCTGGGGCGGGGCCAGTTTTGACCCCAGGGCTTTTATTTGAACAAACCTTGTACACACTTACCAGAACATGTTTCATGCTTAATATCTAAACTCTAGCTATTTTGGTTCTTTAAAAGAAGATTTTTAAGTTTTTACTATATGCATATATGGAAATTCAATGACCCCCTGGGGCGGGGCCAATTTTGACCCCCAGGGCTTTTATTTGAACAAACTTGGTAGACACTCACTAGAAGATGTTTCATACCTTTAAAAGAAGATACTTTGTCTAAGCTCTAGCTCTTTGGGTTCTTTAAAAGAAGATACTTTAATTTTTTTTCTTTTGGTTGCCTTGGCAACCAGCATTCTATGAACAATATTTAGAGGTGACCACCAAAGAAACATTCCTGTGAAGTTTGGATGAAATTGGCTTAGTGGTTTATGAGGAGATGTCATTTAAAGTGGACGCCAGACGAAAAGCCATCAAAAAAGCTCACCCTGTCACTTTGTGACAGGTGAGCTAAAAATAGTTAAGTGATCTTATTTTCCTGGTGAAAAACTGGTGGCTCAATAAAGTTCTATACATATTATGATATTTCAAATATTGGAAAGTTATCTCTAGTTCTTGGTGAAAGACTGGTGACTAGTTTTCTCCTCAATGTCATTTCTTTTTCTAATTAGATTAAGTCATGGTACTATATTCATGAGGCTTTCGACATCACATCTAAGAACTCATTATCCAACATTGCAAAGGGCAGGCAGTCTCCTGGTATTCCAATTTCTTTTAAGTTTTATAAAACCACAATATTTCTATTTCTTTAGTGTTTCCGACATGAAGACACATCTACATGTATCTTTCCTTATCACTCCTGCTTTTACTGTTCTATCATATAAGCGCCTCTGTTTCCTGAAATATTTGTTTAGAAAAAGTTAATTGCAAAGTTAAAATTCCACTTGTAAACCCTTGCCGAGCTCGAACTTACAGCAGTGAAAGGCTTAAAGGTTTAAAGTCAAGAAACTAAACCAATCAGTCACAGACACCCCAAGTATTTTATTTGCTAAGCAGCAATTTTTTTCAAAATTATTTAAATTCATAATACCTCAATCTATTAAAATAACCAGTTTTTTCCTTCGGAAAACCTGGTTAAAAGCTATTAGAATATAATAATTAAGAAATATCATATACAAATACTTCTAAATAATCATGTACCTCTTCCTTAAAAGCCCATGCTATTGAAAGAAACATTTTTTCCATTTGTTCACTTCAAGGTTAGTCAGATTGACAGTCTCACATTTTAGCCTTTATCTCTCGTGATTTCATTGTCATTGACCCTAAAGCATCCTTAAAATCGATATCCTGCTGTTCACATTCATAAATCTGACATGTAGGCCGAACTTCTGAAACATAAAATATAATTATTATTAGATATACATATAGTATCCCAATAATTATGTTAGTTGATATCAAATCAATAATTTAAGCAGTGTTTGAAATTAGAAGTAGTCCGAGAGCCCGACTACTAAATTTCTCCTCGGGCTATCAACTTTTCACAGTAACAAGCCCGACCATGCTACTGTATTTTCAGAGGCAATATAAACAAGTGTTTTGAACAAATGAATCGTGCTAGTGAAAAGTCTTTTGGACAAGTGAATATTCCAATCTAGTTGTCCGACCAGCCTAGTCGGTTCAAATCCTAATTTCTTACACTGTTTAAGAAACAATTTGTTCAAAATTATCCAAGCATAAAGATTTTTATAGTATACTATAGTAATTATAGTGTATATACAGTATGTATTAAATGTCTTTACTATCTACTAGTACTATACTGTCCTGAAATTTCAAGAAAACAACTATCTTTAAAATCCATATTCTAAGAAGTTGCAAAACCAAGTGAATGAAATTGCTCTGGGTTTGTATTATTCTGTACAACTTCTGATCACAAAAGCTTCAAGGACATTTATGAGTGAGTCAGGTCCTATCCTGAAAGATAGTTGTTCAAGTTTGAAGACAATCCATTCAAAAATAACAAAGTTATAGCCACTAATAGCAAAAATCAAGAAAATTTAGACATTTACCTTGAATGTTAATATGGTGGTCAAGTTAATTTAGTTTAGTCTGGTCTATTTGATGGGTTGTTGTGGCCAAGTATGAAGACAATACACCAAGATCTGAAAAAGTTATGAACAAGGTTAAAGTTTGATGACAGCAATTGGAAAGCCATCATGACTAAAAATATATTTAATAATTTTGGCCCTAATACAAACTGAAAATTCTAGCCTATAAACACTGTTGAGACTAGCTGTTCAGCATTTTTTCAATAATAAATAAATGCAATGATGAAGTCGGTAACTTGCAAGTCTTCTAACATTTTTACAAAGAATGAACATATATATATTTTTTCCTAATAATTCTACAATGATGTTCATTCATTTATATTATAACAAGATATAGGAAAGATTATAGATATATCCGAAATGAATTGGCCGGTGGACTTTAATGTCAATCATAGAGCTCTTATGCAAAATGTAATGGTAAGCAAACATCCAGCATGAAATTTTCAAGTAGCCACAAGTTAAATAAAATTATTAAAAATACTTTATCATGATTCAATTTCTGCTGGAAATTGACCCACATGTTTTATTACAAATTTATTACATCAATATTGTACATAGAAATAATAAATTAATTTTCCGTCTCTTTCTCTTTGCGCTTTCACACAGATTTGAATTATTCAAGTCCATGATTTTCAGAAGGAAAAAATCTTCTGATCATCAAACACTAAAAATTACTATACAAACTGCAAATTGTAGTCTGTGCGAAAGGCTGTCTGTCCTCGGACCTCGCCAAATAAAAAATCAAGAGGGCCAAGATAAATTTTGATACAGTTATCGAATATCAATTGTTCACAACAGTTAAATATATTATATTATAAACTTATTTCTATGTTAATAGATAGTCTATATACAATAGAAATGAAAAAGCAAAATCCTACAACACTGTCAACACTGTAAATTCGAATCAGGGTCAGCTCGGCCCATAAACGTACTTGGCCCTCGAGTCAGCTCGGCCCTATTCAAACTCAGCACGGGTCAACCCGGCCCATAATTATATATTACTGGAAATGATTACTTTTCTTACTTTTGATATGTTTTCATCATAACTTTCATGGTTTAACATTTTCACACTAACAGACATCTACTCAAGGATATTGAAAAGTATGTGAATTTGTAGAGAAAGAAAGAATTTACAATTTAAACGCATTTTATGCTACTCCAGATTTTTTGTAAAAAATATCGTTAAAAAGGCATTTGTCATATTAAAAAACAAACAGTATTAAATACAATAAAATTCATTGTCACAAAAATTCAATCTAAAAACTCTATTTATTGATTAATATTTAACATATATTGTCTTGATATCTCTTCTTAAGATAATTATTTATCTTAAAGATAATTTCAAACAATATGTTATTAACTAAACAATCTAAACAATCTATATCCTAATATATGGTTTTAATAGAGGACCGAGTTGACCTGTCCCGAGTTGGTATAGGGCCGAGTTTACCTGTAAAATCGCAAACTAGTCAAATCGGCCCCAAGTCAGATCGGCCCCAAGTCAGATTGGCCTCAAAATCAGTCAAATCGGCCACACAACAATTTTAAAAAGTCAAAACGGCCCCAAAACTAGTCAAATCGGCCTCACAACTAGTCAAATCGGCCCTAAAGATATTTTAATGAAAAATTCTATTTTGGTTAAAATAATGTTATTCGCCAAAAAATTACAAGGTTATTTACTGAGAATTGTACTAATTTTCTAAATTCATTTTTTAATAAAGTAGTTTTTAATTTAAATTAAAGTTTAATTTTTATTGATAATAATAAATAGAGATGCAATGCTACTGGATTAACGAATGATTGATGCAATTAACGATAAGAAAATGAATAATGAATTAAGAAAAGAAAAATGGGGCCGATCTGACTTGAGGCCGATTTCACTTGGGGCCGATTTGACTATTTTGTGGCCGATCTGACTTGGGGCCGATTTGACTGTAATTCGTAAATTCAATAATGTAAACAATCCTTGACCTAATTTCGTTTGTCTAACAAATTAACATCTGCAAACACAAAACGATTTTGAACAAAGAAATAAAAGCATTTCCACAAACCTTTACGATATTATTCATCAGCAAATCTATGTCTTGGATGGAGAAATCTGAAAAACACGAACGTTAACGGTTATTCCCCATTCCGTCGATGGTCCGAACAATGGCGGGTGTGCCCTACTTATTCGTCAAAACCAAGTTTTACCAAATTGCATCCGTTAATTCCAGAAAACTTTTGAAAGACTTGTATTGGAATCTTGTTTTTTATTATTTATATAATAATATTTTTGTTTCAAACGCTTTGATTCTGTGATAGTTTGCGCACAGTGTCTGTGAGTTTGCGAACCATTTTTTGCGAAAATAGTACGCCTTTTTATCGGTATGCCTAAAATACGAAAGTGAGATTTTTGACGAAAATGAGCGAAAGTGAGCGAAAGTGACTTTTAAAATAGTAATTATAACATTTTAATAGACTTTTTTAACAAACTTGCAGTTTGTAAACATATATTATTAGAAAATAATTATATTTATTAACAGAAATAATCATAATGATGATTTAATCGCCACTTAACGGTTCAACGAGCGGAATATTTTTATTACCAGCAAGCTTCTAAAACAGGGCTACCGCTATCATAAATTACGGAAATATTTTACTAAATTTTACAATCGTAACTTTGATTTAATTTCTAAATTCAATAGTGATTTAAAAACTCTTCTGCGACAAGGGATTAGCCAGCCTGGTTTTTATGGCGATGTGGTTTACAAACTTCGTAAGATTTTGGGTCATGGTAATTTTTCTGCTGTTTTTACTAAAATTATTAAACGTTTTATTAAAAGAGGTTATGACCCTACTATTTTAAGACATACTGCATGTTTAGTGTTCAACCCTTTTACAGTTGGACACTACGCTTTCCTCTTTTGATTGCATCTGACGGACCAAGTGGGAGACTCTATGATGGATAGTTCGTAAAGCCCTTTGGGACTGAATTGTCTTAATGTTCGTCTTCTGCCTTGCTTCGTCGGGCCCTTGTAGGTGATTTTCTTGTTGCTCTGTCTTCCTTTAGGACATTGAGTACTTTTGTTATGGTCATTGGGTTTACTTTTATATGTTTCTACATGATCATTTTAGTGTTTTACTTATTTAACCTTTTGTAACCATGACAACTGTTAGAATTTCACTTGGCGGGGATTCATTTTATTTACACTGTCTCGTTTATAGGAACATGGTGGGGTTAAGAGCGAGGTTTGGTGCACCATTAACCGGTTTAAACTCCCCAGCAGTCATTATTATGCTGCTGACCGTTCCAAGGCGGCGCCCCACTGTGTTCCTCAGATGTATGTCTATGTTGTTTCATACTGTTTTGGTGACACTTTTGCTTGTGTCCCTTGTTGTTTTCTCGTCTACGGTAAGTATCTTCCCCATTGCCTCTAGTTTTTATTTCTTTGATTAACCCCCCCCCCCCTTCCCCCGGTCTCCTGTCCCCTTCCCCTTTGTAGGCCTATTATTATTTTCTTTGAATTCCTAATCAGTTACAAATTATTTATCATTTAATGATTAACGTGTCGTTGCCCTGTCCTTTTTATGTTTGGGGTCCGCCTGGGCTCCTTGCCATTGGTTCTTGTTGCTGGGTCATATGGGGGTTGCGTTCATTGAACGCCGCCTTTCCTTGTTGATCTTGTTTTTCATATTGTAGACGTATAGTTTTGGAATTTGATAATATCTATTTTTAAAAATAATCATTATGATGATTTAATCGCTATTTATTTGAATAATTTCCATACACAACTCCATAGATCTTCCTTTCGCTCACATTGAAAAATACGAAAGTGACTTATGAAACATTAAATATGCCGTTTAATTTGAATGTATTTTAATATAACAGTTTGTAGACGCATAGTTTTAGAAATGAATAAAAATACTAAAAAATAATTTCAATTTAAACAGTATATTTTATAAGTCACTTTCGTATTTTTTCAATGTAAGCGAAAGGAATATATAAGAACTTGTGTAAAGAAATTATGCGAATAAAAAGCAATTAAATCATCGTTATGATTATTTCTGTTAATAAATATAGGCAATTTCTAGTAATATACGTCTACAAACTGCAATTTTACTGTAAAAGTCTGTTAAAACGTTATAATTAATATTTTAAAAGTCACTTTCGCTCACTTTCGCTCACTTTCGTCAAATAATCTCACTTTCGTATTTTAGGCAAACCCCCTTTTTAAGGCCACATATTGTATCCATTGTTTCCTCTAGAGTTATCGACGTAAAAAAAATCAGCGGTGGCATAAAATGCTATTCAATAAATTGCTAAATATATACAATAAATACTGTCATTTCTCTTCGGTTGACTTATATGTGAACTTTTCAGCATCTCTGCTACAAAATTACACCTTATTTATATTCAATTTATTGTACATAGGTACATGGACACAAACTTTTCTTTGGCCTAATGCGTAATAATACTGATGTTTTTTTCCGTACACGTTTAAGATTATGTTCCATTGATGTAAGCTAACATTGAATATCATCATTTCAAGTTTTTTTGAACATCAGCTTTTTCTTCAAGTCATCCACGTTTGAAAGTATACATATAGTTCTGCTGCACTACTTTCTTGGTCGCATTAACTACTTATTTTCTATTGAGCTTAAACAGAATTCAGTTAGATGTTGTTCGTTCTTTATAATATAGGCAGACCGATACTATAGAAAGGAAATTTTTTTTTGAAAAAATTTCCTTCCAAAAACTAAGTTCAATATGTAAAAAAAATAAAAATCGCGATACTGAAATAAGACGTGGAATGGTCTAAGTATGTGCTACCAATTCATTTCCGACGGTTTTCATGTTTGTATTATACTTGGTTTTCTTTAGGCTGTTAGACTGCCAGGCTACTAGGCTGCTAACTTCACAAATTTCAAAACGTCATAATAAAAAAAACAAAGTTCAATATTTAAACAAATAAAGATCGCGATATTGAAATAAGACGTGGAATGGTCAAAGTATGTGTTACCGATCATTTTCGGCGGTTTTCATGTTTTATTATCCTTGGTTTTCTTGAGGCAGGCTGTTAGGCTGCCAGGCTACTAGGCTGATAACTTCACA